CCCCCCCTCCTGGTACCCGGCCGAGGGCGGAGTGTGGTCCATGCGGACTCCACTGCCTCAGGCGGCGGGGCAGGAGGCGCGCACGCGCGCGTGTGTGTGTGTGTGTATGTGTGTATGTGTGTGTGTGTGTGTGTGAGTGGAGACCGTCTTGCCAGGTGCGGCTGCTCACGGGCAGTTGCACCGCCTTGGGCGTCCCCCTCCCCCTGGCCCGTGTCCACCAAAGCGACTCACTGAAGGGCCCGCACAGCATGCCCCCGCCCTCTGTGGACTGGCCCCCACTGCCCGCACCACTCACGTCTGCCAAGCCCCTCTTCCCCCGACTTTTCTTTCTACGCATCGAAAACTCGCCGCTTGAACGCACGCACATCCTTCCACCTCCCTCCCCTCCCCTTCCTTTCCCTCCCCTTCCCCCTTGACCATGTCTTCTTCCGACAAGGCTCTCCTTGACGCCACGGCCGCCGAGGCCGGTGCCGCCACCGAGGCCGCTGCTCCCCTCTCCAAGAAGGACAGCAAGAAGCGCAAGTCTTCCTCCTCCTCGGAGGAGGAGCCTTCCTCCAAGCGCTCGAAGTCTGACGGCAGCGAGAAGAAGGACAAGAAGGACAAGAAGGACAAGAAGGACAAGAAGGATAAGAAGGACAAGAAGTCCTCCGAGGCCGCCGCCGAGGCCGCCACCGAGGAGGTCGAGGAGGTCGAGGAGGTCGAGGAGGCCGAGAAGCCCAACCCTCTGGCCCTGACCAACTTCCGCATTTCCAAGGAGACCGTGTCCCAGTTCGCCAAGCGCAACATCACCGCCCTCTTCCCCATCCAGGCACAGACTTACGACGCCATCTACGACGGCAAGGATGTCATCGGCCAGGCTCGTGCGTGCTTCCCCCCCCCCCCCCCCCCTGCCGGGCCGGACCGGGCCCCGGCTGTGGCACACTTCCCCGCGCTTCACGCTCTTCCTGGCGGCTCGCTAACCCTCTCGCACTAACGCGATGTCTTTCGCTGCCCCTGCCCCTGCCCCGGCCCCGGCCCCTGTGCCGGCATGTACAGGTACCGGCTCCGGCAAGACCATCTCCTTCGGCCTGCCGCTGATGGAGCGCCTGTTCGAGCAGCCGCGCTCCGGTCGCGGCCGCGGCCCGGTGTGCATCATCATGGCCCCGACCCGCGAGCTGGCCAAGCAGATCGACTCGGAGCTCGGGTCGCTGGTGGGCAGCCGGTCGCTGCGCATGATGACCGTCTACGGTGGCACGCCGTACGAGCCGCAGGAGCGCATGCTGAGCCAGGGCGTGGACGTGATTGCCGGCACCCCGGGGCGCATTCAGGACCTGCTGGACCGCGGCCGGCTGAGCCTGTCTTCCATCAAGTATGTGGTGCTCGATGAGGCGGATCGGATGCTGGAGGTGGGCTTCGCCGAGGCCATCGACAAGATCCTCTTTACCCTGTACCACCCGGACGGCCAGGAGTCCGGCAATGGCGCCGTGCCGGAGGACTTCCCCAACCGCCCGCAGACCATCATGTTCTCGGCCACCATGCCCACCTGGGTCAAGTCCGTGGCCAGCAAGTACCTGCGTCGCGAGCGTGTCCATGTGAACCTGGTCCACTCGGATGGCAACCAGACCTCCAACACCATCGAGCATCTGGCCATCCGGTGCCCCTTCTCCGAGCGTGCCTCCACCCTGCGTGACGTCATCCGCGGTGCGTATGCCTGCTTCCTCTGCTTCCTCTGCCTCGTTTGCTGCCAACTGTGCGCCCCCCCCCGGCCGGCACTGCTCTCTCCGGGTATGCTCATTGACACTCGTTCCCCTCGCCCGTCCGCCCGTCCGCCCGCCCGCCCGCCCGCCGCCAGTCTACTCCGGTCAGCACGGCCGCACCATTGTCTTCACCAACACCAAGCGCGAGGCCAACGACCTGGCCCTGGACCGTCTGATCCAGAACGAGTGTGTCGCCCTCCATGGTGACATCACCCAGGCCCAGCGCGAGCAGTCGCTCGCTCGCTTCCGCGACGGCAAGATCAAGTGCCTGATCGCCACCGACGTGGCCGCCCGCGGTATCGACATTCCCGAGGTGGACCTGGTGGTGCAGTGCGACCCGCCCGAGCGCAGCGAGGACTATGTCCACCGGTCCGGCCGGACTGGCCGCGCCGGCAAGAGCGGCATTGCCATTGTTTTCTTCACCCCCCAGCAGGAGTACCTGCTGACCAACATCGAGCGCCGGAACAAGATCACCTTCCGTCGGATTGGTGCCCCCCAGCAGCAGGACATCGTCAAGGCCGCCACCCGCGACGCTCTGCAGGGTCTGGCCGCCGTGGACCCGGCCGTGCTGCCGCTCTTCCGCGAGACCGTCAGCAAGTACCTGGAGGACCATTGCCCGGTGGACACCCTGTCGGCCGCCCTGGCTGTCATTTCCGGCCAGACGACCCAGATCGAGGAGCGCTCGCTGCTCAGCTCGCAGAGTGGCTTCCGCACCTATGCCATGACCTTCAGCGAGCCCATGCGCACGCCGAGCCTGGCTTGGTCGCTGGTTGAGCGCAACTGGGGCCCGGACTTCCGGCCCTGCGTCCGCAACATGAAGCTCTCTCGTGACAAGACCCAGGCCCTGTTCGACATCCCGCTGGACCAGTGCCAGTTCGCCGAGGAGTCCTGGTCCGACGCCCGGACCACCCTCACCGTGTGCACTGAGCTGCCGGAGCTGGAGGACAACAGTGGCTTCGGCGGCGGCGGCCGTGGCGGCTTCGGCGGCGGCGGCCGCGGCGGTGGCTTCGGCGGCGGTCGCGGTGGCGGCTTCGGCGGCGGTCGCGGTGGCGGCTTCGGCGGCGGCCGTGGCGGTGGCTTCGGCGGCGGCCGTGGCGGCGGCTTCGGCGGCGGTCGCGGCGGCGGCCGTGGTGGCGGGCGCTGGTAAACGCGCAGCAGTGTGTGTGTGTATCATCCTCCCTCCTGTAGTAGACTCCTGAGGCCGGCTTCCGCCGTCCTCCGCCTCCCCCCCCCTGTGTGGGCTCCCCCCTGCGTCTTTATCTGCGCCGGTCGCGGTGGCGGCCGTGGCGGCTTCCGCGGCAGCTCCGGCTCTCGCACCACCTTCGACGCCGAAGCGCTCCTCGACTTCGAGGAGAACGTCATGGCCATCGCCTTCGAGGGCGTTCCCCTGAACGATGCTCGTGCCTCTGCTTCCATTGTCCTGGAGGCTGTCCTAACGGCCTCCTGCACGCACCCAAGCATTGCCTATCTGCACACAGCTTCCCGGGGGGGGCGTATCCTCTTCTTTCCTGATTGAAGGTCCCCCCTCCCCCCCCCCCCCCCCCCCCCCCCCCCCCGCTCCTTCCCTTTCTCCCCCTCCCCCCTCCCTTTCTCCCCCTCCCTCGCATGGTTATGTAAAACACACGCACCCACACACGCCCAGTTTGTACCATATATCTCGCACCTCCCCAGGTGTGCACTTCCTCCTTGACTCCCCCCTCCCCTTTTGCCGTCCTTGTGCGCGCGTGCGCGCATCCCCGAGAAATATACGCGCCATTGTGTGCTCCTCCTCCTGGCCGCCATTGTCATTGGTGTTGTTGGGCCCCTTTGCACGCGCACGGTCGTGGGTTCGCGTGTGTATTTTTGTGCCAGCGCTGGCGTCTCTGTGCGCGCTTGCAGTGCAGGCATGGGCGCCTTGTTTCTAGGCGAGCTGTGGCCACACACACACACCCACCCACTCAACATGACGCCCCCCCCCCCCCACACACACAAGGAGGGGAGGCGGAGGGGGGCGGGGGCGGGGGCGGCGACGGCGGACATGCACTCACTCGCCCTTGTAGACCGGGGCGCGCTTCTCGCGGAAGGCCTGCAGGCCCTCAAGGCGGTCCTTGGTCGGGATGACGCGATGGTAGCAGGCCTGCTCGATGGCCAGGCCGGTGGCCAGGTCGGTGCCGGCGCCCTTGCTGATGGCAACCTTGGCCGCCTGGATGGCGATGGGGCCTGGCAGTTGGTTTGGTCGGTTTTTTTTTTCACGCGCGCATGCAGGGGAGCCGGTCAATTGACGGAGCGAGCGCGGGAGAGAGAGGAGGGGCGTGGGGCGGGGCGAGGGCCTGCACCGGCAGGCGGTCGCGAGAAGGGCGAGGGGGGGGGGGGGCAAGGAGAAAAGGAAAAAGACAGCAGATCAGACACACGCACCCTGGGGCAGAATCTGCCGGGCAAGGTTCAGGGCCAGGGGGTATGCCTGCTCGCCGGCCTCGGTGACCAGACCGATGGACTCGGCGGTGGAGGCGTTCACCGGACTGGCAGTGAAGATCATCTTCTTGGCCATGTGCATGCCCACCAGCCGGGGAAGACGCTGGGTACCGCCGGCGCTGGGGGGAAAAGCGCGGCGGCCATGCCAGGAGCGCGCATGGAGGCGGAGGCATATGCATGCATGTCAGCAAACGAGAGGACAGGCCAGCGAGGCCGGTGGGGGCGGCTTGGTGTTCGCGCACCCGGGAATGATGGCCAGCTTGGTCTCGCTCAGGGCCAGACGGGCGCCGGCGCCAGCCGTGCGGAAGTCACACGCCAGGGCCATCTCGAGGCCACCACCGAAGGCGGCGCCATCCAGCGAGGCGATCGTCGGGAAGGGGAGGTTCTCAATGTCGTTGAAGAGGGACCGGATGCCGTGGACGAAGTCCGACACCTCGTGGGCCGGCATGGTGGCGCGCTCCTTCAGGTCGGCCCCGGCGCAAAAAGCCCCGGGCACATGGGAGCGAAGGATGAGGACGCGAACAGAGCTGCGGCGCGCACATGTAAATGTGTGTGTGTGTGTGAGAGAGAGAGAGCGAGTGTGAGCGTATGCCGGCGTGTGGGTGTAACTGCGTGTGCCACTGCGCATACGGCCGCACAAGCAGCTGCGCGCGCGACACACAAACACACACACACATAGACGCATGTGGCACCGGGGGGCGGAGGCGCCAGGGTAGGACATCACACGCACCTGTCCGAGCGCAGGCGATCCACAGTGGCACGAATGTCGGCCAGCAGCTTCTTGCTCAGGGCGTTCTTGGCCGCCGGGCGGTTCATCGACAGAACGGCCACGCCCTGGTCGGCGCCCTGCAGGTGCGTGACGAAAACCTCCTCGTCGGAGCCATCGGCCGCCTTGGGCGCAGCCAGCGACGACTCGAAGCGCCGGCCAAGGGCCGCGGTGGTGGCCGGGGCCCGGAGGACCGACAGGTGGATCGAGCGGGCAAACTGCGAAGTCCGAGCGAGCATGGTGTGGCAGCGAGGGGGGCGGGGGCGGGGCGGAGGGGGAGGGGGGTGGAGGAAGGGCAGGGGGCGACAGGCAAGAGGCGCATGGAGCGGGTGCCGCCCAGGCCCGGGGCGGCCGGCCGGCCTGCTGGGGGCGCTGATTAAATGCCCAACGCGACGCGGCCAATCGGGCCGGGGCCCCGATGCATGGTGGTCACGCGCGCACGCGCTTGCGCCCCCCTTAGTCACCGGTGTGGATCCCGCATTGTGGCCGGGCAATCGGCCATCCGCTGGTGGCTGGTCCACTCGCGCCCCATTCTTGCAGGTCCCCCCCCCCCCCCTCCTGCCCCTGCTCCTCCTCCCTCCCCTCCTGCTCCTTTCTACTGCGCCTCCTGTGCCGCATCCCCCTCGTTCTTCCTCGGCCCCGGGTCTCCGTTCGCGTCGCACGCCTGCCCGCCCGCCCGCCCGCCCCCCATGAGCGCGAAGGCCATTTTCGGTGCCCTGGAGATGCTCTTCTCGCGGCACCGGCGATTCCTCAACCGGGTGGCCGACAAGGGCCTCCGCGCGCTCGGCCCCATGTTGGTCACCTTCGCCATCGGCCTGCTGGGGACGGTGACGATCTTCTACTTTGTTTTTGTCGTCCGGCTGCGGTACTTCTTTGCCCTCGGGCCGGATGGGACCCCCCTGGTGCCGGACTACTCGCGCGGGGGGATGCCCCTGCCCGAGATGACCCCCGGCCGGACGGTGGGTCTCCTGCTGGACCTGGCCGTGGCCGTGTGGATCTGTGCCTGCATGTGGTTCAACTTCTACATGGCCATCATGGCCAAGAGCTATGTCCCGATGCACCGGCAGGAGGCCCTGGCCGACATGCTGATGAGCGACCTCTCGGCCCCCGCGCCGGAGGACCTCGGCCCCGCCGAGGGCAGCCTCGGGGACAACCCGGCCGAGCCCTTCCTCCAGGCCGGGCGCCGGGCTGGGCCCGGGTCGCGCGACCACTGCCGGCGCTGTGACCAGGCCCGGCCGCCGCGGTCGCACCACTGCAGCATTTGTGACCGGTGCGTGCCGAGAGGCCTGCTCCCTTTTTGTCTGTGTCCCTCGGCCCTTCCGGCGGTCTGCCTCTCTGCCCCTCCGTCTCCCTGCCTCTCCGTCTGTCCGCGTCTCGGTGTGCCGCTGCCTGACCCGCCTGCCATCTCCGTGCCTCGATCAACAGCTGCGTTCACCGCATGGACCACCACTGTCGTGCGTCGAAAAAAAAAAAAAAGAAGGAAGAAGAGGCATACGCGGGGGCAAGAGGAGCACGGTCAAATCTGGCAGTGCTTCCCCCTCCCCCTCTTTTTCCTTGTCCTCCCCGCCTCGTCCGCCATGGCATCGTCCCGCGCTGATGCTGACCTTCGCCCGCACCTATCCCCCACCAGCCTGGATTGCCACCTGTGTCGGAGCCAACAACCACCGGTACTTTGTCCTGTTCCTGGCCTACCTGACGCTGGCCTGCGCATACTTCTCCTACAAGTGCCTTCCCTTCATCCTGTCGCACTACTTCGACCGGCCGGTGCGTGTTGTGTGGTCCTGCACCCCCTGCCCGCCCCCCTTCCGCCCTTGCTGCCTTCCCTCTTTCGACCCACCCACGGCACAGGCGCACCCCGCTGCCCCGGCCCCCGCACGCGCCTCTTCCCGCACGCTAATTCGTGAGCGCCGCGCGCACATAGTACCACGGCTTCGACCCGGCCATCTTCAGCTCCCCCTGGACGTCCTTCTTCCTGAACCTGTCCTTCTTCCTGGCGCTGATCATTTTCTTCCCGACGCTGGCCCTTCTCTTCTGGAATTTGTACCTGGCCTCCATGGGCAAGTCCCAGCTGGAGTACCACGGGAACTGGCGCATTGGCATGACGGATCTGATGGCCGTCGCCCCCAACAGCCCAGACACGGTGGACCCCTGCGAGGAGAATCCCTTTGACGTGGGGTTCTTCAACAATCTGCGCGTTTTCTTCCGTCTGACGAGCCGGCGGTGCGTATCCCTCCTCCCTTCCGGCCACCAATTCACGGTTCTCACGCTTTCCCCTCCCGCCCTCCCCCCCCCCCCTCCCGACATGCACACGCACGCGCACGCGCACACGCACGCGCATATTAGGCGGTATCTGGAGCTCCTCCTTCCGGTGCCGGTCCCCCCGCTGGATTATGGAGAGGGCTGGTCCTACCCAAATCGGCGGAACTTCCAGCAAAAGCTGGACGAGGCGCAATGATGTGCACGCCTCTGTCCCCCATCCACAAAGCTCCGTGTGGGGTAGAACAGGGGAATACACACTGGGGCAAAGGTTTCTCTTTGTATTGCCACCGGACGAATGGCCGCACGCAGGTGCGCGGGTGTGTCCGTGTGTGTCTGTGTGGGCACCCACCCGCGCCGATGCCCGGCATGCATATGCGCGGGTGTGTGGATGCGTGTGCCGGCGCCCGGGGTCGAGGGTCCATCAGAAGTTCTCCTTCTGGTAGTAGAACTTGGCACCACCCTTCTTGCTGCTGGTGGCATTGTTGCAGGCAATGTGCAGGGCACTGCTCAGGGGCTTGGGACCGCAGAAGAAGACACCGATCTCCGTATCCGGGTGCTGGACCCCCATGTTGCCGAAGATGGTGTCCCAGTCGGGACGCCCGTAGCGGGTGGGACTCTTGAGCCCGGTCAGGCCATCCTCCAGGCCAGCCCGGTCGTTGACCATGATGTTCTTCACCTGGTCCAGCTTCAGGCCGCCGGTCAGGTAGATGTGGATCTCCAAGAAGTTGCCAATGTCCTCGGCCTCCAGGGCGCGCAGCAGGTCGTGGAACCACTCGAAGGCCCCGGTGTCCCGGCAGATCCAGAAGAAGTAGCACTTCTTCAGCTTGACCTTGGTGTTGGGCGAGACCACCCGGTACCAGATGGACTTGAGCACCGAGCTGAAGGGAGTGACACCGATGCCGGCGCCAATCAGGACAGCCACCTAGAGCGGGGGCGGGGGCGGGAGCGGGGGCGGGAGCGGGGGCGGGAGCGAGGGGGGACCATGTAGAGAGGAAAAAAGGACAAGAGGGCGACGTGGGTGTCAGGCAGGCAGGCAGGCAGGCAGGCAGGCGAGAAAGGGCGGGGATCCGCGTGCGCGCGCCGCCCCGGGACACGTGCGGCACGTACATCATACTTGAAGACATCCTCGGAGGCCGCACCGAAGGGCCCGTCGATGTACACCTGCGGCAGGGTGAGGCCATTGTTGCCGGGAGCACCGTCGAATGTGCAGCCGAGGCGCCGGGCGAAAGCGGCTACAGGGGACATTGGTCGGAGCAGCGGGGGGAGGGCAGACGGCGTCAGCGATCTCGAAATCATGGGGGAGGGGAGGGGGAGGGAAGCGTGGAGCCGGCCGGTGGCCGGGGGAAAGGCAAGCCCCAGGGAGGAGGGGGGGGGGCCCAGGCAGGCCGGGCAGCCCACCACATGGCGATGTGTGGCAGACGTACTGGTCCAGTCGCCGGCAAGGCGGATATGGCAGCTGACGTGGCCCTCCTCCGGGGCGCTACTGATGGTGAAGGGATGCCACTCGAAGCGGCTGATGTCCGGGCAGTTAAGGAACAGGTACTGCCCGGAGCGATAGGTCATGCTGGGCTTGTTCATTTGGATCTCCACCACACGCGAGGGATGCTGGATGACCTTGGCGATGGTGGTCGTGCGCCGAGCACGGATCTCGCGGATCATGCGCTCCAGCAGGTAGACCACCAGCGACAGGAGAACCCACTTCCAGGTGGCCGGGATGCAAATGTACCCCTGTGAATTCGACCGGGGGAGCAGGAGCACACATGAAGGGGGGAGAGGGGGGGGGGGGCGGGGAGGAGGAGGGTCAGACTCACACTGGGATGGAAGGGGGGGGGGGGCGAGTGCGGGCCAGCAGCGGGGCGCCAACGGTGATCGGCCGGATGTGTGGGCACATGCGTGCCAGGGTCTGCGTACCGCGCCAGCATTCTGCGGACGCAGCAGGCACTGCGCGCCGTGTCCCAGCAGCAGGACGAAGAAGACCACGAACAGGTGGTGGCTGAACCAGAAGAGCTCGAAGTACTTCCGCCGGACGCCCTCCACGGCGGCCGTGTACATGACGAACATGACCAGCACCAGCAGGTGCCCGGTCCAGCCGGCCACCGCCGACACGGCCACCTGCAGGGCAGTGCCCTCGTCCGGGAGGAGGGCCCGCTTGCGGGCCTCCGGCGTGGCCTGCTCGATGTGCAGGAAGTTGAAGTAGTGTGCCCCGACGTGGACATACGTGGCGAAGGCAATGGTCCAGGCCACGGCCCGGTGGAAGGTGATGTGCTTGTCCACCAGACGCCGGATGCCGGGGATCCGCCGGACATAGGTGATCAGGTTGCGGCACACCGTCAGCAGGATGATGCCGCAGTTGAAGTTCAGGACCTGGGCCGACCCGCGTGCCCAGGGCAGCCCATCACCGATGATGTCCCGCATGTTGGACCAGGAGGCCGAGTTCCGGAAGAAAAAGAACCTGTCCAGGAAGAGGGCCAGGTTGACGGCCGTCCAGATGACGAGGAAGAAGGCCTGGCCGGCGATGGGGCGGGTGAGTGTCTGTGGCAATGCCGGGAGGGGGGGAGGGGGGCGGGCCGGGACGAGGGGATCAGAGAGAGGAGGATGTGCGCGTACCTTTGGCCCCTCGTTGACAAACCAGTTGCCAAAGCGGTAGGACAGGTTCTTCCGGAGGCCTACTGGTGTCTCGGCGCCGGGGCGGACCTCGTCGACAGCCGGCGGCATGGGGGCCGCCGAGCCCGGCGGCGCAGGGGGGGGCTGGAACCCCGAATGGGTAGCGGTCATGGCCGGCGCCGTGGGTGGGTGGGTGTCTTCCTGGGGAGGGGGAACGGGGGTGAGGAGGAGGGGGGGGGAGGGGGAGGGGCGGGCCGAGAGAAAAGGTGTTTCGGCCTGCGGCCGGCGGCCGGCAGTCCAGGGGCATTTGGGTCGCGCTCGTGTGAAAGAGATCGACGGGCTCGGCGAGGGGTAAACAATCCCCTCTGGGACCCGGAGCCCCACACACAAACGCGCGCGGGGGGGGGGGGGGCGGCGGCTGCCGGGGCCCGCCTGCTAGGTGAGTGTAATTACCAATGTGGGGCACTGCTCCGTCGGGCAACATCAACTCGGGCGTGGCCCAGCCGGGCCCATCCTCCCCTGGGGGGGGGGGGGGCAGGCCACGGGCGACCGGCCCATCGCGCGACCCCGGCCGGATGGGTGACCCTGGAAGGGGCACTGGCGGACCGGCGTGCGTGGGGAGAGGGGGAGGGCCGGAGGTGCGCGGCACCTGGCGGCCAGCGGCAAGGCATGTCCCAGGCACATTTACGCAGGGCCCCATACGCCCCCCCCCCCCCCCCTCCCCCCCGAGAACCGGGGTAATCCGCTGGAACCAGGGCCTCGAATGGGCGCCCCCAGCGGGCGAGAGGTGACAACTGACAACCGGGCCGCCCCAGCCAGAGTCGACCTCCGGGCCGGGGCGCGCCGCCGCGGGTGCCGTGTGCCCGGCCGCGCCCTCGCGGACGAGGGGCGGCAAGGGGGCAGGCGCATTCCTCCTTGGCCGCCCCCTCGCGGGGTGGGCAGGGGGACAGACGCAGGCAGCGCCAACCGCCTCCCGGGGAGTGGGGGGGCGTTTCGGGTCGTTACGAACCCGCCCCATTCATCTGCCGCAGGGATCGGGGGGCGCGCGCACGCGCGCACACATCGGTGTATGTCGGCGCGGCAGCCACGCAGAGGCCCGCGCCCGGTCCCGGCCCTCCTGGTCGCAGCCGACTGCACATCGAGCGCGGGCGGGGGCCGGTAGCGAGCACGCCGTTCGGGCTTGCTCGCAGGGCCAGGTGCCCCACGGCCAGGCGGGCGGGCCGCCAACAGGGGCACCGGTGTACTCCGTGCGGCCCCCCCCCCGCGCGCGCGCCTGGCGACCCTTGAGGAGGAACACCATGGGTTGGTGTTCCCACGACTGCAGTGTGATCATGTGCGGCGCACATGCTTCCCATCGAGACGGGCGTGACCCCGGTCCAGGGAGCACCCAAGCGAGCTCAAACTCAGTTGGTATTCATTTCGTGCGGTCGGGCGAGCACACAGCGCGAGGGGTAGGCTGTTCGAGGGCACGAAAAGGGGAGCTGCTTCTTCTCCCCTGTCGGGGCGGGCGGGGGGAGGGGGG